TCATACCGGAACTCCATCATTGGTTCATAGACCTCCCAGTCATAACCACCAGTCATACTGAGTCTCTAGCTTGTTCATGAGAGATCATGGGACTTCTCAGCCTCCGCCATCATGCAGACTAATATCTTATGGTAATTATACATATATGTATGTATATAATGGATTCTATTATGCATGCACACAACATACAACATGCATATACCAAGTATGAATGACACCTGTATCCTATTTGTTCTTTTTCTCTCAAAGCACATCTTCTGTGTTGTGTTTTCCTTGTAAAGGCATAGCAATACCTACCCTGGGAGCTGTGAACAGAAATAACAAAGGGTTCAGCAGAAAACCTATGATGCCCTAATAGGCTTGGACTGGGCCTTGTAGCTAGAGTTTTCTTGCCTGGCCCACAGTCAGGACAAATCTCTCTCACCTGCCTGTCCCACAGCCACTCAGACCCGACCAAGTAAACACAGAGACTTATATTGCTTACAAACTGTATGGCCGTGGCAGGCTTCTTGCTAACTTTTCTTACAGCTTAAATTAATCCATTTCTATAAATCTATATCTTGCCACGTGGCTCGTGGCTTACCAGCATCTTCACATGCTGTTTGTCATCATGGTGGCTGGCAGTGTCTCTTTGACTTAGCCTTCCACTTCCCAGCTTTATTCTCCTCCTTGTCCCGCCTATACTTCCTGCCTAGCCACTGGCCAATCAGTGTTTTATTTATTGACCAATCAGAGCAACACATTTGCCATACAGAACATCCCACAGCAGGGCCTTTGATAAACTAGCCAAATCCCAGAGACCCTTTTATTACGCTGTATCTCAATCCTTCTCTTCTCTATTACCAGGCTAGGCACATGTCTGGTGCTCAGTAAACAGTGGGGGGTCAAATCGTTCCCACAAATGATAAAGTTGTTCTTATTTGCAAAGTTTGCATGTGGGAGTCCATTCACTGAATAAAAGATGTGTGCCTGGGTTGCAAGAATTTAAACGTTACCATCTTCGTCGGAAGGTACAGGTTTTCCTCTAGATCCACATGCATTATTCATCAGCTTTAATTCTGTCGTGTTGACCTAGAATTTCATGGCCCTGCAATGCTGCTGCATACCAAGCATCCTCGAGGAATAAAGGCCTGGCTGAAGCTTCAAATAACATAGAGCCTTCTCTATCTCTATTTCCTGGTAGATTATGTGACGACACATCATAAGCCTTCCGTAAAGTCATCTCCCCTCCAGTGGAGGAAATTCATCTGCCAGTGCTGCTCTGAGCAAAGAATACATTCCTTCCCTGGAAATATATGCTTTAATATTTAATAAAAGCATGAATTTGAAGAGCATCTGTCAGCTGTAGAGGAAGAATCTGATGGGAAGGTGAAGACAAACTTCATTTGAGAAGATTAAAAGAACTGAAAAAATGGCTACAGTGCTATTCTATAACTCTATAGGAAACAAACACTCAAAACTTCCCCTTCCCCACCCCACCCCTGCCCAAAATAAACCAACCCACATGGAATGCTTGTCCCATGCAAGAAAGTGAACACAGTGTGGAATATTCAGGAGGTTCCAGTCTGAAGTAAAATCCAAGCTAGGACAGTGCCAACCACTGTCTATAGCCTCGCTTATAAATCAGCCCTGCCCCTGGGGAAGACAGATGGCTTAGCATCTAACACAGACATAACCACAACCGAGCAGACTGAGACCTGCCAGAAGCCAAGGAACAAGGGCGCCTCAGAGAAAAGATAAATTGAGCTCTCTTTAAACCCCACCGCAACTGTTTCTCTGGCAACTCCAGGTACAGCAGGGGGCACCAGCATCTTCCAGCACACAGGCTACCAGCTGTACCACCTTGGCAAGGCAGTCTGTAACCACAGCCATGTGATGCTGTGTCATTAACTCAAGCCTTCAAGCCCCAGGGTCCTCCAGACTGTTCACAGGCATGGCTGGAGCTGCCTTTTGAAGGTTGAGAGCATCTGCATTCCAGGGCTGTGTTAGTCAGCTTCCTCAGCACAGAAAGTACCAGACTTATTCCCTGCCAACTTATAAATAAATGATGTAGGCGGAACATGCAGGGTCACTGCTACCCAGGCTAAAGGCAGCACATGCACTTCTGTTTCCAGGAAAGTCAGAATGAAATAACAGAGCCCTGAGAGAACCCGGGGCTCCTCAAAGCCAGGAAGAACCTGTGGAGTCAGAGGAGCCCAGAGCATTAATCTCAGTGGTCACTTAAAGCAAGCCTCTCATGAATAAGACATTCATTTTTGTGTGGCTTATTTTGATGAGCTTGTCTTGTGCATATATGACATCTTGTACACCAAGAAAATCTGTGTTAGGATGGGCTTTGTGGGGGTATTTTTAAAGTTCAGTGCTTTTAGAGACAGAATAGATTTCAGATGAGACAATACAATGCCTTAAGATAAATGGTAGATTATCAAATAATCCTTCAGAAGACATCTAGGAACTATCACACACAGGTAAGAGCAGACAGACACATTCTGATACTGCCATTCCTGGATCCAGATTTTAAACTTACTAGGTGAGTCTTCATTCGGTAATACTATCAGTTACTATAAGTTTCATAGCTTAGGTAGGAAGCTACTTACCAAGATGAGAATGTTTCTCTAAGAAACTTCAAGTTCTCTACAAATGACTTAATGAAGTGAGTATTTGGACAGAAAAGCTTTTAAATAGTGAGCAGCCTGTAACTACTGTAGCATGTCACCTTACCATGATACATACAATCCAACAGAGTGCTTCGAATCTAGTCATTTATTATCTGATAGTTTATTGGATACTTTCACAATACTGTGGATTGAAAAGCGTATGAGATATGGTCCCAGTTCTTAAGCAGCTTGCACTCTGAAGACACAACTGCCACATGATACATGAAGGATGATTATACAATAAAGAAGATGCTCCTTGAGAAGAGGCCTAAGGGGAAACTTTTAGGAGGAACCAGCTCTACCATCTTCTTGAAGAATATTATGTTAGATGCTGTGGTCTGACTGTGCATGTCCTCCCTGAATCCATATGATCAAATTCTATCCTTCAGATGATGTCATTAGAGGTGGGGTCTGAAGAGAATGATTAGGTAATTGGAGAGGAGCCTCACTAGCGAGGTTAACATCTTCATGAAGAGCTCTGAAGCAGGACATTTGTTGCTACTGTGTGAAAACACTGAGAAAGTGGCAGCCGAAGATCCTCACTAGAACCACTGATGCTGGCACTTTGCTCTTGGACTTCTCACCGCCCACCCCCACCCCCAGAACTATGAAGAATACGTTTCTATTGCTCAGAATCTGAACTTCTCCCAGGAACATTCCTGAGTAATACTGTGCTCGAAGGTGTGGTTTGAGTCTACCCCTCATAACCATGATAAACAACCATTGGGTACTGCTGTCATGGGAACAACCCTGGACGTAGCTCTGTGGCCACTTCTCAAGACTTTTTCTGAGGCCAATTCGATCTATTCTCTGAACTCACCTGGGGTTTGTCTTTGGAGATAATTAAACAGAAAAAGGTCTAGCTAAATTCTGTTAGTCTGAAAACAAGGAGTCGGTGGTTTAGAAATGCCCAGGATATATTGTGTGTCCAATTCCCTGCTTCCCTGAGGTCTCCTTGTGCCTTTGGGATCAATACAGCTGCTAAAACTCAGAACAATGAATGACACTTAAGACTTTGGAGAATATTTATACTCACTCATTAATTTGGGGGACATATGAAGTATGATACAGGTATGAATGGTTTCTCAGCAGGTACATGTGTGGTTCAACAATATGTTCAGATGCCTCCTGATTTATAATGAAGTTGCTTCCTAACAAACATACTATAGTTTAAAAACATCCTAAGTTGAAATGCATTTAATACATTATAATAATATTCATAACCTAGCCAACATCTTTACTTAGCAAGACAGCCCCCCCCCCCATAGCCTATCAGGTGTGTTCCCCGTCATGATCTGTTGGCTGAGTGGGAACTGCAGTTTGCTTTTGCCCAGCATTTCCAGAAAGCATACTGGAAATACGGAAATACACATGGTGGAAAATCAAAATGCAAACTACATTATCACTGTAAACCTGAAAACTCATAAGTCAAACCACTGTAAGTGGAGGACCATCTATAATTTCAATCAGTGTTTCTCAAGTGTCCTCAAAGGACAATGCTATGAGTGGGTCACAGGCATGCTTTTATGGCAGGTAGGTAAAAATCAGGAGTTGGGCTAACTTCCTGGCATCTTTATTCATTTTTTCAAATGCCACAAAACTCTATCATTTTCTCAGTGTGATTTGAAAAAAAAATCATGAAGCTCCCATTAAGCTTGTAATAGATTTGACCATAATGTCCTTGACTTCACATTGTGTTGGACCCAGGGCAAGGCACCAATCAACTCTTACAATCTCATATCTCCTAGCAACACGGAGTTGAGCATTGAGGTTGCTGATTCTGACCATGTGCAAACCATGTGTCTTAGTTTATTTTTCTGTGGCTGTGATAAAATAGTGACAAAAGCAACTAAAGACAGAAGTGACGTGTCTCACAATTTCAGCTTATAGTCCATCATGGCAAGGCAGCCACAGTGGCAGCAGCCTCAGAGAACTGGTCACATCGCTTCTCGGCCTTTTGGCTAAGATCAAGTGTAGAACTGGTCGCGTTTCATCTACCGTCAATAATAAAAACAGTGAATTAATGGCATGCATGCTAGTGTTCAGGTTGCCCTCTCCATTTTGTGCAATGCAGACACTCCAACCCATGGAATGGCCCTGCCCATGATTAAAACGGGCCTTCACACATCAATGAAGACAATCAAGATAATCCCTAACAGGTGTGCCTGAAACCTTGCCTTCTAGGTGTAGAGTTGACAGTCAATACTAACCATTCCAACCCCACCCATTGTCAACTTGACATCCAAACATAACACCTTTAATCCATACCCTCTACTCTTTGTTCCCACAAACTCACCCTTTGTTCCCATAAGTTCATGATGATAAAAATACACTCAGTCCCACTTCAGCTATTCCCATAGTCATTTTATTAACAGCTACAGCTCTTTAAAAGTCCCTCCTCTTAACCGTGTGCTCTCACAAAATGAAAAAACAAGTTACATACCTCTAGGATACAATGGCACAGAGCAAGCATTCCTGTTACAACATAAATTGGCTAATCAGTGCACAACAAGAAACTATCAAAGCAAAACACCACCCAAATCCAGCAGGGTAAACACTAAATCCTACAGCTTCACATCTAGTATCTCAGATTTGTGATGTGACCAAGTGGATGCCAAAAGGATTGGGTAGTCCACTCCCTCATCTCTGATGCGTGCAGCATACAGATTCTCTCTTAGGATTAGGCCAGCTCCACTCTATACCTGTAGCCTTCCTTAGCAGCTGTTCTGTGGTCCTAGTCTCTCCAATATCCAGGGGTTTCCATGGCAGTTTGGGCTTCACTTTCACAGTTTCACATAATATCTGTTCAGTGCCTCACAGAAGAGAGTCAAACCCTGCCACACAAGTGATTGGCCTCATCTGCTATCCATGACCTCAATATTGTATCTCTGTCTTCAAAACCGGTACTGTGTAGACAACGTCACTGCCGAGTTCGACTCCCAGCTGAAGGTGTAGCCTGCGTGTATGCCTTAGACTAAATTTCTATCAGCATCTGTGTGCTAACCCTGAGGAAACACTTTCATGTTGTCGTGGGGCGGAGTGACAGGTTTCTCTTTAATGGCATCAATATCTTCAACAGTTACAGGTGCACTGCTATCTGTACTATCCTTATTGGAAGCTTGAAGTTCCCCTCCCATCTTTCTTTTGTTAAGCAAGTGAGCAGATTAGCTTCACGTACAACTTCTTTCAAACTCAGTGCAGTGGAAGAATGAAGCTAGATACTTGGTCAAACTATCACAATAAATGAGCCTTAGCCCAGTTCCTGATATAGTCAGTTGTAGTGGGTAGCTGTTCCAGCTTTGACCTGGAAGTACTCCCCCCAGTGAGGCTTCCAATAACTGTTATGCCTACCTATGACCTGCCCCTGAGGCAGGGCCAAGATGGGAGCCCTTAAGACCTGAGATCTGGGTGTGCCGGCTCTCTTGGTTCCTGGTGATCCTGGATGCTGGATGGTAGACTGAGCAGAGTTCTCCAGAGAACACCGCTGGGCTGCACTTCACCTATCTCGGATCCTGAAACCTATCCCTTTACTTGTTGTAAGCTACCCCAAAATAAACCTCCCTTTTAACTATGTGGAGTTGCCTTAATGAATCCCCCACTAGTCAGTCCTTGATACTTCTGAAATCTGATGAGCAGGATCTCCACTCTTCCTTTCTCTCTCAGCATCACTGTCATCAAAACTCCCAATAGAAAGGCTCATTAATTTCTGCTTCCAGCATTTAAACACTTTTAGAATGTTTAGAACGTCTAGCTCTGAATTCCAAACTCCTCCCACAAACCAATTCCAAAGGACCTCATGGTCCTTGATGTGGTCCAGTTTGTCATAGCAGTGGCCCCACTTCTTGGGACCAATTTCTGTCTTAGGTTCTTTTCCTACTGCTATGGTTAACCATTCTGACAAATGGGAGAAATAGTTTATTTGGCTTACAGCCCTGGGTGATAGCCCATCATGACTTTGAAGTCACAGTAGTAGAATCTTGGGAAACCTGTTATGCTTGATTATGGTGATAATGAAGGCAAACACATGCTTGTGTTGGATAGTGATGGCGGTAAAGTCTGAACTTTGAGTTCTCATTCAGATTCTCAGAGGACAGGGGAGGTGGATCATCAGCACTAGTCTATTCATTTCTCTCCCCGTGTGGCTCAAGACCCACCCACTCAAGTTGTTCATTTCCAAGGGAAGAGATTGAAAGGAAGATCTGTGCTACAGGCAGATGGCTGATTAACTCATAAAGAATCAAGTATTTTAAGATACACAATGTAGAAAGGGGTCCACGCTGTCAGCTCCGATTCAGTGATCCATCAGAAACAAGCTGTCAGTGTCATCCCAGAGGGGATAACAAATGGAAGATGGTGATGAGATGCAGGGACATCCGTCAGTGTAGGCGTGTGTCAGTGGTAGTGGCTGTGGCAGCCTCTATGGATCCTGCCTTGACAGACAATAGAAGCTTCACCAAAAAGTTAGATGCTGAAGATTACCATTGGCATAGCACCTTCATCCCTTAGCTGGAACTCGGAGAGTTAGTATCTGTTTCTTACCGAGTGCAGGGGCATGAGGAGCAAGTGGAGAGGCTCAGAAGTGACTTCATTTTGGCTCTTTGTGGCCAGTCTTCATCTCCATGTGTTCTTCATTTAAAGTTGAGGAGCCACTCTCTCTCACACACCATACCTAGCAGTGGGCTGCACCTCTTGTGCCTCTGAAATGAAATAGGATGGATCCTGCGCATGAAGAGTCTCCAGATGATCCCATAACCAAACCACGAGGGCAGGGTCATCAGCCCGGCAGTATTTTGACTAGAGACAGATGTAGTATTAACAGGTAGACGAACACATGCTTTCAAAATGGGATGGATTTGTACATTATGAAGACATAGACTAATACATTTTTTCCTAGGTCTTTAAAGATCATAACATGCCAGAAGATATGTGTGTGTTTGTGTGTGTTGTTGAAATACATTCATATTCTATGTCCATGCATACATCGCTAATTTTGCATCAACACTAATAAGGCTAAGGAATTCCCAGGTATCAGTAAAACATTATTTCTAAGTGTGTCTCAGAAATACTTCCAGAATAGAATTCTCTCTTTTTTCTCTCTTTTCCTCTCTCCCCTCTCCTCATATGTTAAGTATGTATGTCTTTGTGTGTGTGTGTGTGTGTGTGTGTGTGTGTGTGTGTGTGTGTGTGTATCTGTCTGTCTATCTATCTATCTGTCTGTCTGTCTATTGCTATATTGGCAAACTAATTGAATTACAGGAATAAATGCTTTAACTTCTGTAACATGCATACATTTATATGTATATCCATGGGTAGTTCTTTTATTCCTTAAACACAAGAAAGGCCATCTTTTGGAAAAATAAAGACTTGCAATTTTATTTTTAAAATGATATAAAATGAAAAACTGTCATTCAGTTGCCTCAGTTCTTCGAAGAAGCCTAAAATTGGAATTTAGTAAAATCCTAATAGTGAAACATAAATATTAGTTGTTGCCTAACTTCCTAAGGACAAGAATTGATTTGAAGATGAGTTTTACTAGCTGCAAGATATTAGGTGTAATGCTTTCCCACACCTTTTTCTCACGTCGGGCTCTTGAAAACAGGTCGAAAATTATGTTCCACCAACTGAATGCTAAAAGTAGAAAAAGCCAACAGTTCTAGACACTTCTCACCCAATTTGCACTTACCATGGGGTGGAAGTATCATGTTTCAGAGAGCAGAACATAGGCTAGGGTATCAGATCAATTTGAATTTAAATCACGGATTCATCACTTACTGTCTTCTGAACACTTTGAGATTCAAACGAGTTTTCTAAGTCATAGACTCCCACCTCACTGGGTTATCACAAGTAGTAGATAACATGGCATTCCTTATGAATGCATTATATACTCAATACATGTTCATTCTTTCCCCCCAAATCTTCCACCCTTACTTGATGAAGATGAAGGTTGGCTCACACATCTAAAATAGCATGCCAAAATATCCATAAACTGAAAGCTTTCACAACTGAAGTGACCTTGCTTGATATTTGTTTTGGCCCTGTAGGACTTATCATCCCATTTTATAGGTGAGTAACCTGAAGGTCTGAAGCCCACCACAAAGCTCTTCCACCTGATGTCAGTGACCTTTATCTCCTATTGGAGAGACACATAAGGCAGTACTTTTCCCATCAGCTGCAAGGATGTCTGCTTTCTCCTCTGAGAGTATCACAGTCCCCCATCTGAAGATCCCTGCTTGTCCTTACCCAGGTTGGTACTCCTGCAATCTTCCATGCAACAGATAATTATGCCACACACTGTCCCACGCTGCACAGATCACTAGGATGACTTATAGTTACTGTGGTAACTTGATACCTAAGTCTTTAGGTTGTTTTTTTTTTAATTTCATGTACTAATAACCAGGAGATCTTTCCATGATTCAACAAGGCTCCATACCATGTGACACTGATCCTTTTGAGTCTCTGTGGATGCCACAGGATCATAAGACATCATTTGGGGAACTATAACCTTGACTCCTAAAAGGAGCTCACCCTTTTGCACAGTCCTGCAAACTCTGAATGAAAACTGGTAAGTGGGCTTTGTGTAAGCCGTTAGCCTGGAATGGAAGTACTTCTAGTTTCTGGCACTATAATGCCTCATGCACGAAGATCCTAAGGCATGAAAGGACACCAAACAGCAAGGACGCACTGCAGAAGGCCAGAGTCTTGATTCAATGATGCTTAAATGTCAGGAGTGCAGCAGAATACTTCAATAAACAGTTCCCCGAGGGACTTCAAGCAGCAGAAAAAGACAGCAAAGAAGGGGACCTCCTTCAGTATAAGAGCCATTAGTCAAGAGAGACCTGTGACAATCCCCTAATATTTCAGACTCTTCAGGAATCATGGAACAGGGAAGTTGTTGTAGTTGGTGACTCCAGAAATTTTGGTAGCTTGGGAAAAAGGTTCTTCTGTAAAAAGCTTTGTAACCGATCAGAACACTATAAACTTGCTTTTTCTCCCTCTACAAGTATCATTATCTTAGTTTCTGGATTTTTAGTCTTTTACAGCTCATCGAAACCACACCACATTACCTCTAAGAAGCCTTCCTCAGTCCTGCTGATGGATATTCAATCTTGATCAACCCTCTGGGCATTGTGGAATAAACATCTGTCCATTAGTCCAATGTGTCCACTGACCCAGAAGTGCATATTGAGGAGAGTGGAGACACAAGGTGATAAGGAACACCCCCGCACCGTTCACTTACACATTCGGTGAGCAGGACTCTTTCATCTCGGGTTAAGAAGCATTTCTCATCCATTATCTCACCACTCTTTTGATTTTTATGGATGTGTCAAGTATTGGCTCCTTTGTTCCAAATTCTGTTCCTGAAAGCTCTCTGACATGATGCACAATTTCTTCCATTTGTTGGGTTAGTTTGCATGCCATAAACCCACATATGCAACTGTGGGAAATGAGCAGGAAAATGATGTCACAAAGCAGAGGAAGCAAGGCTGCTGTAGACCACAAATCAATACAGAAGCATCAGCTAGTCATTTATGGCCAATCATTAGCTGCGGGTCTCCAGGTGGAATAGATAAGCCGTGGAAAACACAGTGAGTCCTCTCCCTGTCTTTGGATCAACTTACTTTGGTCAGGGTCAGATGTTTTTCATAAGAAAAAATAAAACATCTTTAAAATGAAAAAAAAAAAAAGTGGTGCCTTTTCCTGCTTGATTTTCTCCCTATAATTTCCCTGTGACTCTTCAGAAAATCAGACATCAGGGTCTAAGTGACAGGTTAGTCAGCAAAATACCAGTTTCTCAAGGATGGTCTGTGTGAAGATCCCCAACACCTGTAAAAAGCCAGGTGTGATAGTGCATGCCTGTAATCCTAGTTCTAGGGTAGCAGAGACAGGGGGATCCCTGGGACTTTCTGACCAGCCAGTCTAGCTGAAACAGTGAGCTCCAGTTTCTCTCCGAGATAATGTCTCCATATACCCAAGTGGAGAACAATTAACAAAGATACCTGATGCCAGCCACATGCATATGTACTGATGTATGTATGCATGTACATACACATGAATGCATACATACACTCAGATCAGAAATAGTGTTTGTAATGAGGTCTGGGAACTGTTCTGACAACAGGAACACTCTCAAATGACTGAAATTTGATTAGAAAGATTTCAGATAGAAGTAATATTTACTGTGTTCCTCAGTTTGGGCTACCATCACAAAAAAACCAAAATACATAGACTGGGGAGATTTTTAAATAACAGAAACTTACCACTCATAGTTCTGGATGCTGGTAAATTAAAGATCAAGTCCTTGGCAGCGTCTGTGGCTGGAGAAGACCTTCTTGCCCATCTTCACACTCTTATGTCACATGACAGAGAGGTGAGAGAACTCTCTGAGGTCTCCCATAAAGGCACTAATGCCACTTCCCAAAGGCCTTCACCTTCCAATCCTTCCAGAGTGAGGAAGCTCCCAGATGAACTTTGGGACATGACATTCAAATTATCCATAGCATATGATGAGCTGATTTCACATTTGATGACTCTGGAGTTGATGAAAGAAAGTGGACTTGGAATGATGAAAATGGGGGTAGGGGCTCTACACACACACACACACACACACACACACACACACACACACACACATATCACACACAATGCTCTCATCAGTTCACAGAGGCATGGTCTTCCGTGACCTTTGGTGCAGTTTCACAGTTCGATGTTCTTAGAGAAAATCTTTGGGACCAAGGAGAAGTCATTAGTGGGTAATGCTTTCCCACGTAAACACATACATAAGCCTTTCTCACAATGTGACTATCACAGCCCTGAAATTCATTTTAAATGCTACCATCGTGAACATTTTAATAATTTAAAAAAGCTGTTGTGTTTGGCAGCAGCAAGCGTAACATGTTGACAAAGAGAAGGCTGCAGGGTCTCTAATCAACCATTTGGATCACAGAGTAATTATGCAGAGATAATCCCCAGGAAGCTGAGGAGCCTGAAGGGCAAATCCTGCCATCAAGGATGGAGGGAGAAGCCCCAGGCAGCCACACTTGTGCTGAACTCTTCCCTGGGGTTTGGAGGATGGCAGCTTCCTCCAAGGGACTCTGAAAACTCTCTCTCCCTGAAAATAAAGAGAGGAAGGGAGCCTGAGAGGTGCTGTTCATCTGGCAGGTCTCTCTTGCTACTTTGCCAGTTTAGACACCCCTTTAGAATACTCGGGAGTCGAGCTAATATTGTCCATTGATTCTCTCACCTCTTCCCCTTGGTAACGCACTCTGCCCTGAGATTATGATGAAAACTCAGTAAACACTTGCTCTCCAGGTTGCCAGCATCATCAGCCAGCCACTCTTCTCCAAAGGTTTCCTACACTCAAGGACTCTCCTCCAGAGCAGCAAATGTAACCTGTTCCTAAAACTGTCTCCTGTCTGAGGAGCTGAGGGCATGGCTCTTTTTAGACTTTGAAAGAAAGAATCGGGCTTGGTTCAGCATATGTCTGCAAGGGCTGTAAGAATGGCTGGCACTATGGAGTGTGACTTCATTGGGTTACACAGGAAGTAATTGCCAAGTTTATGACCAAACAGATCTGGGTTGCAATCACTGAGGATTTTGTTTATTTGTTTTGGGGTTTTGTGGTTACTTGGTTTTCATTTTTGGTTGGAAGTTACACACCATCTCCAGACTTTGTTCTCCTTGCTCACAGAATGGGAATAAGAAATCCTCATAAATACATTTTTTTTTTTTTTTAGTATTTCTGCTTTTCTCACGAACACGGATTGCCTCAGTTTGTGTGTGTGTGTGAAGTTAGCTTTCTCACTACAGTAAAAACAGCCCGCGTTCCCCTCCTTCCTTTCCTCCTAGCTCCTAGCTAACACATCCATGTCAGCCAGATGTTTTCCAGTCCTTCACAGCAGGGTCATCTCAGACATATGTCTGTTCCCTGGGATGATCTGGTTAAAGGGAAGCTCCAGCCGCAAACTTCTCCTGGGTGGTTTGAAAGGAGAGCATCCAGCCTGAGGGTCCCGCACAGCCATGTTAGCACACGTGAAGTCATCGTAGAGGTAAAGCCCAAAATAATGAAGAATGCAGAACCAAGAGCCTAGAGCTGCAGATCTAACCATCACGGGGACTTCTGGATCCCCACTCACCTCTGTTCTCACTATATATTATCTATTCCTTCCAGTAATTCAAAGGAAAAGGGGGGTTGAATTTTATGGGGGCATTGCTCAAGTCCCCATTCCATGCAGGACTCAGTGAGGCCATCACCCAGGACCCCATGCATTGATGGACTGGACCGGAACCATCTGGAAGGGTGAGGGGGAAGGACAAAAAAAAAAAAAATGGCCAAAGGCAAAACGATGCTCTTTGTTTAAGTCTACTTTAGAACACACTACCGCGTTGTCAAGATTTGCAGCCATGTGATTCCCATATTCTTTAAATGGCTTGAGTTTAGTTTCTGCTAATCTCAATCTAAAGAGTTCTGATGAAGGCATAGTACTGTGAAGACAGCTGGTTCAAAACAACAACAACAAAAATGTCCATTAAGATGACCAACACTAGTCTATTGGCTTGAGTTTAACCCCGTGCTTGCCCAACTGTGCCTTAGGTAACTGCATCCAGATGGAGTCCAGGTGGATACACAGTCATTCTCCCTTGCCCTCTCCTTATCCTTCTCTCTCCTGTTTCATGAACTGGGCTTCTGAGTGAGATGCTACTTGAGGAAAGAGGCCATTGCTAAGAGTATTTGAAAACAACTAGCTTGTTCTGGAAATGAGACCCAGGGCAGACTTTCTTCCAAGAGACTGGATGGACTTTATGCAGACCTGAAAAAAAGTGCAGTGTTAGTTTTGACCGCCAGATGGCGGTCTAGAGACAGTGGCGACCAAGGCAGGGTACTAAAAGTAAGTAGAGATTTACCAAAAGTAACTAGAGATTTTCCTTTTCAAACGGGTGTTACCAAGGGCTAACTGGGACTGCTTGCCAGCTCTGTATTTTTTTTCTTAATTGTGTTAATAAGAATTAGTGTTCATTGCCCAGTGTGACTGCATTCAAATATAGCGAGAGCAGGCTGGACACATATTGCTCTGCCTTCGCCCTGCTCTTTATGTTTCTTGGCGTATTTTTTAGTCAACTATCAAGTTATGTATACTTGCTTATTTGTTTGTTTTACTAAAACTATTATTGTGACATGGAGGGGCAAACACCTCCCTCAATCTGAATGTTGCTCTTTCCAGTTATTTCACATCTCATGTGCTGGCCCAAGCCTTTTTCCTGATGGAACCCACACTGGATCATTAAACAACAAGCATCCCTCTAATAATGAGGAACACATAACTGTCGATCAGCTTTTCTGACCGAAGGTCCAAACATGCCAACGCGAAGGCTTTTAGATTTCCTGTAAATCCAGGCAACTTTTTTTTTCCTGGATGTTCTTCCCCGGCTTTGAAACCAGAATCCAGCTGGCCTGGTTTCCACTTAAGTGAATAAAGGGCTGTGGTGAGGAGGCCCCGGTCCCAGGCACCTGGATCTCCCTGTGACACAAGGCTTTTTAGCAGAACACACACTTGATCTAACTCCTGAGGAGAGCGCAATGCTCTCTCCTTCCCTCTTGGCTCCCCAAGCTTCCATTAGTCACTTCCTCACTGAGACCATTCGCTGCAACTCTACATTGCCTCAAAGTCGTTTCTATTCTTGCTGCCTATTAGTCCATCCTAGGATCTGGCTTTCTTTTCAAAAGCTTTTTATGTTCCCTCTCCTCAAAAATCATTTCCACTTTGCCAAATGATACTATTTTGAATAACAGTAAGTACATGCTAGAAGTAAATTATTATTCTAAAACTGGCTTCGTCAAAATAGGAGCAGATGAAAAAAAAATGTAAATGGATCTGATTTGAAGGGCCCGCGCCAAGGAGGAGAGGCAAGAATCCACTCAGCTCCTAGACCGGATCTGTCCAAGACAACCACCTGCTTCAGAACGATTGGGATTGCTGGCTAGATACACCAAGTTCTGTGCTTAGCATCTATTTCTAAGTCGGAATCTGTAGGAGGAGAATACACATCTGATTTTGAGCATGCTCCCTAGGGCAGTGATGTACATATAGGCCATACCTGATGAACCTTCTAATACAGCCTATCTCTCAACTGAGAAAAGCTTTCGCCATACAAATATGAAGACTGTGAGGACGGAGTTCTGTTTCTCTGTAACTACGTACATGCCAGGCAAACATGGTACCTGTAAGCCCATCGTTCAGAGACAAAGACTAAGCACTCAGTCGAACCTGGCTAGCAAGACTAGCCTAATTGGTGGGTGTGTATTCATTAAGGGGCTGAGGCACATACTCAACCTTGACCCCTGGCCTTCTAACACAGGCAAACATATACAAACATACAACCATGCACACATATACACATGCAAAGAAAAAAGTTGAATTTTAGACAACAGAGGGGAATGCTTATCTTTTGCATTGTTTTGCTTTCTTTTCTGCAATATCAAGCTGAAAACAGCTACAATCTAAAGATCTGGGCTTTGTATTTTCCTAAGGTAATTTTTTGCTGCCCCCTCCCCTGTTCCCCCCCCCCTTTTTTTTCTGGAGCTGAGGACGGAACCCAGGGCCTTGTGCTTGCTAGGCAAGCGCTCTACCACTGAGCTAAATCCCCAACCCCCTGTTTTTCCTTTTTGAACCGACTCTTCATTCTGCAATTGATAGAGGCTTATCTCTGCCTAAGCAATTTTGGCTTCTAAATTCCCATATCATTTCAGCCCATGCTCCCTAGAGCTGCTTTGCCCTTGCGCACATGAAGTACAGTAAGCAGAGCAGTTGGGCTTCTTGGGAAGGCAGAGAAAGGAAGAAAAGTATGGCACAGTGGCTCCTGAACAAGTCAGCCTGTCTCTACTGCATCCTCTGGTTGACGATATAGTCTTCATAAGTTTTTCAATTGCAGCTGACCTTACCACAATCCACTACGACTATAGTTGTTCAACTATAATGTTTACAGTTTCACCCCTGAGCTGGCCACATGGTGATACAAAACATATACATAGCACAGTCTTCAAGTGGTTCACTCTCCAGGGGAAAGAGAGACCCAGGAGTAGGCAATACAACATGTTCAGTGTTTCAAAACCAGTGACTTACAAGCAAAGAAAGAACTTTTTCCTCAGAGAACATCCAGATTTTTCTCCAAAGAGTGAATAACATAAAGAAAAGGCAGGTGGGAGAATTTGAGACTATTAAATGGCACCTGACTGAAAGTGGGCTACAGGAACAGATTGGGTCGAATGTTAGGTAGACAAGATGGCAGGTAGCAGGCAGCATTTGGTAGGGAGGATATCACTCAAGTGAGGGAGGGTAGCAGAAGTTAAAATGCATGAGGGCAGAAAAGAAGATAAACATTTGATATAGAGACTAGATTTGCCACTCATAAAAATAGATCTGCATAGTGTGCATTTTGTCCCATCTCATTGAACATCGCATCGGATATTCTATTCTCTTCCATACTTTGCCCCTGAGAATCTAGAAGTTTGAAACAATGAATTCTGATTCTTTAAAAATAGATTGTAGGGATTACAGTAAGTCAGCAGAAAGAGTAGCGTGACACCCTAAACCATCCAATAGATTTTAAGTGACTACGGGTTTCTCACAAAATTGCCATAGAAACTCTAGAGCCATTGTTTCGGCAATGACTGGGTGGGATGGGGAGAGAGTGTTACTGGCACCGTGGCAGGAGCGAGGGCAGAAAGTGACAAGAAAGCTAACACAGAAAAAGAAAACGAGCTAGAAATCCATCTCCACAAAGCCTGAATTGTTAACGAGCATGCCCAGAAAGAGTGTGCGGAATACGTTTGACTTATACGGGTCCCAACATGAAGGGCACGCAGGGTATGGAGCTTCTGACCTTTTCTCCCAGCTCTGGGCCACTTTCTTTCTTGAAACTGCTCTCTTCTGGACATACTGCCTCTGTGCCCATCACTGTCTGCTTCTTTCTGCCCAAGGGACACAAGAATGTGGAACCCCAGGGGGCGCCTGCCTTACCCTGGTGTCCGCTTGTAACAGCACCCGCTTTGGAGAAGCCAAGGATGCTGCTAAGCATTCTATAACACACAGGGCGGCCTCAATCTGAAGTAACCCCTCTCAAATGTCAGTCCTACAGAAGGTGAGGGGGACTAGCTCAGAGAGTCTAGTCAGCAACCTTCTGGGATTGCTATAGAAATCTGTAGAATGTGGAAACTTCAGAAAGTAAATTAAATAGACAATCTGCATCAACGTGGGAAGAAAGACTGTAGCCAGACTTTGTGAGAGTGTGTTCCGGACACGTGGATGTGAGGGCTCTTGGCCATTGCCACCCTAAAGTCTCATCCTGTAAACAAGACTGCTCATCTCTTAGTCAAAAACTCTTTTTAGGACCGTTCACATCCCCTTTCAAACTGAGTTCTGTGTTTGCCACAGAAGCACTCCGATTACGAGCTTGCTTCTTATGTAACTTAGCAACCATGAGGAAATGCTGAGTGTCTGCCCCCCACCTTCTGGAAACGTCTTTTATCTGCACTTCTAGCCAACTACCTTGCAATCTCCCTTCTGGTCTCTTGAATAAGGGTCCTACTTAACACTAAATGAGTTTCCCGAGCTACCATTTGATTTCTCAGTGCTAAGAGTGAACTTCTGCTTCATCAACGGGTGTGAATCTGAGCTGTAGAAGGAAAGACCCTGAGTAACTTCAGAGTGGCACATTTTTCTGAAATTCACAGACTTTGCATAATAAGCTACCACCTTATGTATTCTCCGCATCCTGCTTTTACCCCAAGTAAATTACCAAAATGCAAAGCGCCCCCAGAGAACATATTGGATGCACATCTTCAGAAACCAAATGAACAAGATAACGTCTGAACTACAGATGAAATCCCTTAGGTACATTTTATTTATTTAAACCAAGACTTTTTAAGAGTTCAGGCATCTATTTAAGGTTCAGAACCTATGATTAATATCTAAATTGCTGATGAGCTGTTTTTCTGATCCCAACTTTTGCGGAGCAATGGTACATCATTAAATGCTGGAGCAGCAAGATTTGCTTCTAAAGGATTGAGCTTGCAGAGAGGGAGAGGGAGGCAGGAAGGAGGAGAGGGTGGGGGAGTCTGAGCAGCTGAATGATGAGGAGCCCTTTTATTCTTCTCACTCTACTGGAATCAAAGGCATTGCAGCTCACATCCCACACCTGAGATGTTTGTCACTAAACCACTTCCTTCTCTGAAGTGGGTGGAGACAGTCATTTCACTGTTCTGAAATTTTCATCCTATTCTTTTTTCCAAACCACCTCCATGCTGCTCTTGGTTCACCCTCCCCAGAAACACTCCCACTTGGCTTGCAGGACTTGCAGTTTGCAAATTGAGAGTCTCACACAACAGACAGAGGACAAGTCAAGAAGGGAAATGGATTGGGGGTGGGGATCTCTTTCTAGGGATATGGTAAGACCCTTTGAAATACAAAGTCTCTTTTTTCCAGGTTTCTGACCTTTCCCCACTATGAAAGTCAAAGCAGTGGGCATCATGATAAGTGCTGTTGATCTCATTGATCTAGCTTTAAACCAAATATGTGGATGAAACTGATAATCTGACCTCGTTTCAGAGGGAAGCTTACCTGGCATTCACCTCACAGCCCTTCCAGTTACAGAATCACATGACAGGCTTGACTAGTGCAAAGATTTCTCCTGGGTCCTGAAGAGTGGACAGCTGGTGCTTGCCTTTGGGTTTTGTTGAGCTTTAAATTTCCTTTGCTGTTACAGATGTTTTAGTCATGCTAACCTCAAAGTAAAGGATGATGCAGAAAATCCTTGCTCATTTTGGAAGTGTTGGAAAAAGAATTTGAAGAAAATGACTCCTTGAGTTTATCCAGGAAATGACATCACCCAGCTCAAGCAAGCAGCACTTTTCAGAGAGCCGATACTAGGAGGTACAAGCTGTTTTGTGTGCTTGGGAAGGGATTAGTCAATGGTAAGTTATAGCAAGGAGAACAGAAAAGAAAAGTGAGGGATGAATCAGTTCTTGAGGGATTACCTATCTCATTTTCTTAAACTTATGAATTTCTATTGACAAATTCTCTCTGTCTGATGCCTTTTCATTATATTTTCAAATATTATCAGAGTAAAATCATCTGTTTTTCAGAGTTGACAAAAGAAACTGCCAGTTCTCAGGTTTGCTCTAGGTAGGACTGACAATATCTACTACTATGTGTACAGAAACCCTAGGTTTACACAAAGCATGTTTGTATAGGTTACATACAAGAACGTGTGAAGAAACCTTCAGAGAAAACACCAGGAAATAGAAGCAATTTCTAGCCAACTACTTTGCTATCTTCCTTTTGGTTTCTTTAACAAGAGTCCTACCTAGCATTAAATAACGTTTTTGAGGTACCATTTCATTTCTTACTGCTGAGAGGTGGCTTCTGATTCATCAATGGGTATGAATATAAATGTAATTCCAAAGATTCAGAGAAAAATTAGTCTTTGAAAAATAATGTTAAACAAATAGAAAAATATCATTTCCTTAGTGACATTAAAGGAAGCATGGCACAAAGACCACCATGCCCCCCCCCCAAAAGTGCAAAGTTGCAAAGAGAGAATTTATTAAGAGAAATGTAGAAATTAAAAACAAAAACTTAAATTTTAAAAATGCAAGAAAAAGCTGGGAATGGTGGTACAGGCCTTTAATCCCCAAACTGGGAAGGCAGAGGCAGGAGGATCTTTGTGAGTTCAAGGCCTGCCAGGACTACATATCAATTTCCAGGCCAGCCAGAAATAAGGAGACCCTGTCTTCAAAGAATAAAATTTCTACTCTAATTAATATGTGAAGTGAATTTATTAAGGAATAGACCTGATAATGAACATGAGTCAGTTCTGTGAGGTGTCAACTTTTGCATCTTTACAATGACAAATAGAAATGAGTAAAATATTGACAGTTATGTGGGCTCATTAAATTAATGTGAAAGGGGCTAAGGAAAGAATCATAAAACTATAGCTATTCCAGAAAAAAATATATATATATACACACATATATAACCAGCAGGAATAAAACAAAAATTAAAATTTTAATAAAATCAAATATCAAGAGAGGTCAAATAGATGTAAAACAATATAATGGAAGAAAAAGCAAGTAAACTAGTTAAGAAAATAATAAAAACAAATGGAAAAAAATCCCTTTTTAAAGAACAAATACCCAGAGTATATATAAAACTACCAAGGATATGGTGCTCCTAACATATAAATGAAATGGAAATTAAATACAAATGAAAATCAATTAAATACAAAAGAATAAGTGCAATAGTAGGCAGGATTAACTGTGAAAGAGACTAGGCTTATAGGTGTTTATTCAAAGTCATAATCACAGTGAGAGATGGCACCTTTACCTCAGTTTATAACTGTTACAGTCAATATGAAAACTAAAGCAACTAGGACATCGTGGGCTCAAAAATTAGAATCAAAACATTTTAGGCAATCAGGAAATAATTAATAAAACTCAAACACAAGTTTCTGCCAACTGTACTTAAAGGGAATAATATCCATCCATGGACTTACATACTTCAGTACAGTGTTTGGATCAGTATGCATTTGTGTATCCTACCATCTCCTAAGGGTGGAGTTTAGGGTTGCTGGAATGACTCCTACCAGGCCAGCTCCAGCTTTTCAGAGTCTCAGAGTAGTGGAGTCTCCCGGCATGGTTCAGGGTTCCTGACAAGAAATGCAATAGCAGCATCAGATACTCTCCTCCGCTCAACGCACTGGGAAGGGTCCAAGAAATGCTTGTCTCCTTGACCTTTAATTCAACAGGAGCGCTCAACGCACTGGGAAGGGTCCAAGAAATGCTTGTCTCCTTGACCTTTAATTCAACAGGAGCATCAAGTAGGGATCTACTGCTGCCTGTCATAAGTGAAAACCCAGATAGCTGCTATGTAGTCTACATTTTTGGTTCCCAAAAAATAAGTCTGTGGCTCAAAAATACACGGGTGGCAGATGGATAAGAATAGGTCCAGACAGCAACCCTAAAACTCTGTTAGGCAGTTTGGAAATCTTCTTGTCTTTGTGGTTGATGTGATTTTCACATCACCAACAATGGCTGTTCTAAGGATGCCTAAACAAACCATAAAATAGGGCTTATAATTAGTTTTTAATCTGATACAAAAACTTTGCATATACTCATTTGCTTTATCACTCATTAGGGAGGTACAAAGTGAAAACTGGTGATTTTGTTCAATTTAATTTTAACTGCTGTGAAATTTCGAGTGGTTATTTTTCTGTTTTAAAATTTATTGCGGTGGTGGCGCACGCCTTTAATCCCAGCACTCGGGAGGCAGAGCCAGGCGGATCTCTGTGAGTTCGAGGCCAGCCTGGGCTACCAAGTGAGTTCCAGGAAAGGCGCAAAGCTACACAGAGAAACCCTGTCTCGAAAAACCAAAAAAAAAAAAAAAAAAAAAATTATTGCCATTGTATTAATAAAGTGTATTTTCAGTGTATTTAAAGAAGTTATCCTTTAAAAAGAAATCTTGGTTGCCATTAAGTGTCCATAGAAGTAATATGTAGATTCAACTCTCCCTTGAAAACTTCACTAATCTAAAACGTATGTTAGATGAGTAAATACTACAAACGCACACATATATATCCCATAGTCTTGAAGATTACCCCATTATGTCATAGTTCTATGTCCAGAGTCATCATACATAAAAATTGGGAAGAGTATACTAACACTATTATGAAATATGTCTCTTAAGGACAATAATCTATTCAAAATCATACAAGCCATTTTCTTGGTTACTGATAATTATGTTTCCACCTGCATGAGGACAAATAAACCACTGGAAGGACTTTCTCATCTAATGTGTCGCTGTAAGCAGAGAACCTAAAACAGGGTCACACATCTATTAAGTGGAAATCTCAATTTTCCGGGGGTGGCCTGTCTACAGTTCTATACAATCAGTCTTCTTTTCCTGGCCTATGTTCCCAACGACACTTAAGCGGTCATTCATCTTCCTTCAGAAAATGCAGAATTCTACTAATGATTGACTACTATTCTATTGCTGCTATGATTATAGGCCCTCATTATTTTCTACATTGGCCCTCTAGTGGTGCTTCAAAATGATCCCCAACATTTTTACTGCTTATTTAGGGTTTCAGTTGTATTCCCTGTTTTGATAGTTTCAATATTAATTCCTCAAAACGTACATTCTTTGTTTTTCCCAGTCCATTTGGGATTTCCTTGCTTATTTTATCTGAGATTCCTTTGTCAATAGCTTTGCTTTGATTACACCCTTTATTTTAACTCTGTCATTGCTACTTGTTTGTAATAGATGCCATGTATTCTGACTTGTTTCTAAGCACAGTCCCAGTGTATGATTTATCACATGGCATGTGAATATACATCATGAGATCTTAAGACTTATTTGTGTGTGTGTGTGTGTGTGTGTGTGTGTGTGTGTGTGTGTGTGTATGCCTGTGTGTCCATATGTGCACAATGTGTGTGCAAGTGACCACGGAGTTCAGAAGACCCCATCGAATCCACTACAACTAGAATTACAGACAGTTGTGAACTGCCATGTAGGTACTGAGAACCGAACCTGGGTTCTCTGCAAGAGCAGCAAAGCTCCTAACTGCTGAACGAGCTCTCCGGCTCCATTATGACCATTTTGTGTCATATCTTCTTACAGATGATCTACACCAGAAATTCAAGAAATTAAAAGAATTTTAAAATTTAAGTAGCATATTCCTCTTCAGTTACTAAAAGTAATTTTATATCAGATAAATCTGTACAAAGATAAAAGCTATATACTCTGGATAAAATATTCAACTAGAACTATCAAAGTCACTGTAGAACAAACAAAGTAAGACATAAAACTAGAGAAATCTGTTCTGGCTGTGAGAGTCTCTGCTGAGGTATAATTCTAATAGGTCGGCCTTTATAAGTTACTCGGCATTTTCCCCTTGCAGATTTTCATATTCTCTCTTTGTTCTGTGTGTCTAGTGTTTTGATTATTATGTGGTGAGGGAACTTTCTTTTCTGGTCCAATCTATTTGGGTAAGCTTCTTGTACCTTTATAGGCATGTCCTTCTTTAGGAAAATTTTCTTCTATGATTTTGTTAAAAATATTTTCTGGGCCTTTGAAATGATCTTCTATTGCTATTATTCTTAGGTTTTGGTCTTTTTCACAGTTCCTCAGATTTCCTGGATGTTTTATGTCAGGAATTTTTCAGATTTAACATTTTCTTTGACCAATATCTTTCTTCTATCGCATCATCAGTGCATGAGAGTCTCTCTTCCATCTCTTGTATTCTGTTGGTGAAGCTTGCATCTGTAGTTTCTGTTTGCTTACTGTGGTAGTTTGAATATATTTGTTCCCTATAAGCTCATAGGGAGTGGCACTATTTTAGGAGGGGTGGCCTTGATGGAGGAAGTGTGGTCTTCTTGGAGGAGGCTGGATGACACACATCTTTAATCCAGACTTTGAGGCTGGAGGGCACACCTTTAATGTGGGTCACACCTTCTTTTGGAAGTGTATCACTGTGGGGATGGGCATTGAGGTCTTTTTCTCAAGCTTCCTCCAGTGTGACAGTCGACTTCCTGTTGCCCGCAAAATGTAGGACCCTCAGCTGTTTCTTCAGCAACACGCCTGCCTGCGTGCTGCCATGCTCCCCACCATGATGGACTGAAGAGACGTTCAGAAGAAATGAAACCAGACAACACGTTAGCGTTGGAGCTTTTGGTCTTCATGACAATGCCCCCTAAATGTGGGTGCCACTGGGGTTGGAGACCAACTCAGAAGGAGAAATCTAAGGACAAGCATCCATCGTTCACTGCTTCCTGACTGTTGAATTCAGGCTCTGCCCTGCTCTAAGTTTCTCCATATTGTATAAAACTGTGATTTTTTTTCAGGCTGT